GGGGGGGGGGGGGGGGGGGGGGGGGGGGGGGGGGGGGGGGGGGACGTGACCAGAAACATGTCTCGTCTTTGTCGTCAGAAACAGGAACAGGCGCCAGTACTTGGAACAACAGCAGTCCCGGTGTTTTTTTTTTGTCTGCGTGCAAGAGTATGGTTCGGCGATTTCGTTTCATGTTCGACAGCGCGGCTGCGGGCTAGTTTTGTTGCAAGTCTCGGTAAAGGAGGCGTTGTGCCGCTCCATCACAAGGGCGTGATGCTCCAAGGTCCGCTCGTTGGTGTGGGTGTCGATTTGTGGCTTCATCGTGAGTGGCAATGTTCACATGCCAGCGTAGTCCACATACGATGACGAACCATGGTGTGCCTACGGGGACATGTGTGCTGTACCGCCGTGAGACACGCGCTAGCATGCTACATTTTCGATGGCTTTTTTGTGTGGGGGGGCATGTGATGTGACGTCGAAGTTGCGTCCAATCAGCTGGACGATGAGAATATGTATGAATCGGTTTTGTTTCAGAGTCGGCGTTTTCTCTTTTTCTTCCTTCTTTTTTGCCCTGCGCTCTCTTGTCTGCTCTTTCCCCCTGATGAAACGCTTTTGCGGCCACTGGCGTTCTTTCGCGTTTTTTTTTTTTATGCCATGTTTTTTATCTTCTCATGAATAGCTCCCCATGGCCCCCCCCACCCCATGTTTGTATGCCTCCCGTTTGTGTAAACCCGTGCTAGCGCCCAATTCCAACCGTTCCTGTTCGTATGATATTGAACGTCATTTCGGGGATGCATGCCCCCATCTGGCCTAACTTAGTAGGGGACTGGGGCACGCTGTAGGCTACACCTAGCGGCTGCTGGGCTCCGCCGTCCCCCTGACCTCAATTGAGTGTGCTTATGCGCCCCCCNCCCCCCCCCCTCCTCTGCTCTTTTTTTTCCCCGCTCCGGCTGGTGCAGTCGACGCTGGCGGGATCGAGCTTCCGCATCGAAGGCAGCGCGTTCGTTCGCAAACTCTCCAAGCTGAGGCCTCGACACTTCATGCTTGAGCTGGTGAGCGTTTTGTTTTTCTTTATTTTCTGCAGTGGGTATACATGGCACCATTTTGGCGAGAATGTGACTGTGGAGTTGGGTGGAGAGTCGTCCCGTGATGACCCCCTGTGTTTTTGCTCGAGAGTTCTCAGGGGGAGCCTGACGGGGTTGGTGCACGAACTTCGCTGTTGGCTGGGAGGAGGTCGTGCACCTGCTGTTGCACCTTTGTTTCTTTGTGAATACGCATGTGGAAACTTTGGGCAGAGACGGGATTACACGACCACCTGTCAGACACCACCACCGTCACCAGCAAAAAAAAAAAAATCGGCCGTAACCAACAAGAAACAAGACGCAAAAGCCGAGAGCATACAAGCGATGCCCCGTGCCCGCAGCCTCAGAATCCAATCCAACCCCCCCCCCCCCCCCCCCCCCCCCCCCCCCCCCCCCCCCCCCCCCCCCCCCC